GTATAAGTTAGTATACTATTGGTAGTTCACCAATATTTTAAAGTATTAGGTACTAGTAAGGAAACATTCAGCTTCGAGTTGTTAAGACACTTTATGATGTCAGTCCATGTGTAAAGTTCTATAGTAAAGTTTTAAAAAAGTAAAAACGAGTTAACAATGCCATCTTACTCCAGTTTAAAACACAGATGATAGAAAATTGAAAATTAAACATCAATATGGTTTAGATAGTATGATATTCACTATTCAAGTTTTGCTTTTGCCACGATTGAGTCGACAATGTAAAGATTATAATTGTTCCTTTCAAGTTCTCCAATTGGGAAAATGTTGGCTTCCCCGTTCATGTATTGTTTCAGACACGAGCAGACTCTTCTCAAACTGCACTCTTTTGAGCAAACTTTTAAGCAAACAAAATAAACAAAAATACTTAAAGAACGCCTTGCAGTTTTGACAGTTCTGTTATTACACATGTTAATTTTTTAATTAAGATAAGATAAACAATGAGTTTAATAATAAATGCATAATTCAATTTTTTACAAAATGTAAACAACGACTAGAAAAAAAAAGATAATTATGGATAATTATATAAAAAAAGGAAACATATATTACTTGACGCAAACTGATCGGGTCATGCTTATCCACTAATTCACCCCTACTAACCGATGCACTTTCAAATTCTCGTGATTTGCTTTTGCTCTAACACTGCCGTTGTTAAGTGTATACCAATTTATTTTAAGTTTGATTGTGTTAGAAAAATAATAGCTTTTTGAGACACTCTCGAATCCGTTCCTGGAACCAACCAGTAATAAGCGCTTGGTTAAAAATTAAATACCTTCATTTATTCAAATGTGATCGGGTCATCGGCAAGGTGCTGGCGCCATTGACAATTAGAAAGAGTCCTCGCAAGTTTGGTAGAGCCAACACAAACAATTCATGAGTATCGATATTGCGGAATATTTGCAATTAATATTCACAAATAGACAAAATTGCATGAGTTGAGAAAACCAGAATCCCTTAAGAAAGCCCAACACAACAAAATTGAAAATGCTGCATACTCGGTTTGATTGAACCTGATCATAAACGGAAGTGGTAATTTGCAAGCTACCCTCCACGCCCCCTTTCATCGGCTTTAGCAAAATTAAACATGAACTGGTAAAACTTTGGAAATTTTTTGAATTATCCGCAAATGTGTCCATATAACGGTTATTATGGAACCTTCAATATGACACTTAAGTGCCATTCAATGAAAAGCGACTATCTTATATTGAAGCAATTCAAAACGATGCAGGAAGAATAGTAACAAGTGAAACAAAATTATGCAATATAAGTCATTTATTAAATTAACTCAAAATATGATAAACAATATCAACAAGGAAAGGCGACGTTCAATGAACGTAACCCCACACGATCCAGCAACAAGAGCCAGTGGCAAGGAGCACAGGAGGACCTCAAACAAGCCCGAAAAGCAGAAGCAGCATAAACTAGTGTTTTTCTATAAAATGCACAGTGAATTACACCAAAATATCTCTTTGATCTGACACCCCATCATAACGAAGAGTCCTACCACCTCGAAAATCTCAGACAAGTAAACTCGAGAACACAAACATATAGGTAATCATTTTTTTTCCTCTGTTATAACAGATTGGATTTTTCTGTTGCAGAACTTTTCATCATATAAAAATTAAACAAAGGCCTCTACTCTACTTTATGTATTGAAGGAAGTTGTGTAGGCAAAATATTGCATGCACGTTTCATTTAATTCTAGCTCCCCGAACTTTGAACTTCAAAGGCAGTCCTTTATTCAGTCTCCATTATTTTCATGATTTCAACAGTCAATGCAGCACGATTTATTTTCATGCCCTCGTTATGACCTCATCAGAAGATGCATATAAGTCCCCTTCCATGTCCTCTGACTTTAATAATCTCTTATACGGAGAAAAACGCATGAGCCTTATCATGAACGAAAAAATCATTTATAAAGTTCAGCATTTCATCCTACCTTTCCAAATACATGTATTTTACCAACTTATATAAACATTTTGCTTACTATCATTTCCCGATAGTGTGTAGATTTAAATTTACTGTCCTTTATCTTAACTCAAAAATTAATGACACTATATTGCTTTGTCTTTGAAACATTCTATATAAAACCATCTTAATACATAACTTAAATTTAACTTTAATCATCGCAAAAATGGTAAAAACAATATTTCGTTTTAAAATGGAAACTGTTTGGAATAAACCCCCGTTAATACAAAATAATTATAAAACAGAATTTCCCTTAATCTTCTACTCTAGGCAACAATATTTCTTACAAATTTCTTCACTTTAATTATTTATCTGATTTGCATTGATTTGTATTATTTTTCCAAATATGTTCATATTTTTTTCTATTTCAAGTACACTTGACTTGTTTTTTTAATTCACGAAAATCTTTCAGTGTGTTTGTATTTGACTTCTGTAAATATGTATGTTGTACAATTTGAAATAAATACTGTTTAAGTTTAAATGACAGTATGTCGATCCAAAGACCAATAGTAAGTGATCAAAAGAAAGTCAAAACAAATTATCATTTTGTCATAATCCCTTTCAATTTTAAAACCTCAGTATGAACGATAAATATCTCACGTGTCTGTAAATATCCATCGGAATATACCTACAACATTTAATGTATATTTTCGGTAGATTTATATTTTATCATAAACATATTTCAATACCAAATGTTGGTCAGTCAGCCTAATAATAGTCAATCTTTTGTAATATAGAGTCAATTCAGCTAAACTTGACAATGAAAAGCATAATGTCACTTTAACAGACATATCTGGAATAGTAACGTACATAACCATGGAGCGTGACAGACAATAGGAGGGTCATGTTGGAACATTTTTTTAAACAAACGCACATTTGTTATCCCGTTACAGGAAAAGAAGAATAGTAAGTTAAATTGCTCACTTCAGTGATTTATAAGTGTTTTTGTTGGGTTTTTGTTGTTGTTGCTGCTGTTGTTGTTGTTTGGTGTTATTGTTTTTTAGTTTCATCTACAGGATGTCTGTTGCTTAGGTAATAGTAACTAACGGTTAATGACGGGGTCCGTAATTTGTTCCACACTATTAAACCGGTGACAAAAGAAAACTATGTATTGCAACCTTTTCTATAGATTCTTCGGACAAACCAGTTTATTAAGGATATACTTTTCGTACTGCTGGGCGCAAAGTAATTATGGCTGGAACGTCGGCTATATTGAATTGAAGGAATAGAAGTAATAGGGACAACTTCAGATTTACAGGCGCTACCATTAACCGTGACTAACTAAACAATATACCACGTGACAATACACCCTGGCTATGACTCATATTTATTGACTGACATTTTTTTATTTGCACTAAATGTATTCAACTAGTTACATGAACATATCTTAAAATGTATTTAGTATTTCAATGTGTGATACATTCTGCAATATAGCAGCCATTTATGTAAGCAGTCATGTTTAAATGTCAAATGAGGGCCAGCTGATAACCTAGTTAATATTTACACTACCACCAAGAGACATACACCCGAGTTTTAGTCCCTGGTCTCCAATACATACGTCGTAGTATCAGCTACATTCTTTTTCGTATTCAAAAGGGGAAACAAAACATTTAATTTCTCCTTTCAAGTTAAAAAGGCCACGTGTCTTATCTTTACCATTAAGCACAGCTACAGGCAGACAGACAAACAAAGTCATAAAAACATTTTAAATAGTAATCTGAAATGATTTACATATGTTACTAGTATTGTCATGATGATTTTTGTTATTCTATTTTACTCTCTCGTGAATATATTCAGACATGCATAATTCATAGAAACGGGTAAACAAATCTGAAATATCACAGTTTACTCTGACATTGAGCATATCCAGAAATAGAAAAGTTTTGTTTGAAACAATCTTTGATCAAACACACATTTATTGATGTTTTATGAGACAACTATTGACTGGAATATATTCAAATGGAATTTGAAATTGTGCACTTCAATGTTCACCAGCATTGCACATCGATTATTGAAAAATAACCGTTATTCTGATTAAAGTACACTAAAAAGTACACTTAAATTTTTTTTTTTTGGTGTTCGCATAATTGTTGAGTATTTTTAAGTCCGAAGTTGATACTTGTATTAGTTGCATGTGCATGACATCATGTATGATAAGATATGCAAAGTTTTTCTTCCATTTATATAATTCAACAACTAGACAGTCAGAGCATCAAGATTATAGATTACCAGAATTTTGCTGAAATAAAAATTTATTCAGAAATAAACAAAACTACAGTTCTTTCAATAAATATGACCATTTTTCAAAATCCCTACAATTAGTTCATTTTTATTTTCATTGAGTTTATTCTCTTCGTAAAATTCAAAATCAATTATCTGTGTTATTTTTTTAAGAGCAAATTCGTTTTTGATTTTGATTCAGTTTCTGATTTTTCCTTCTTTATTGTTTATGTTAAAATCAAATACATGTATACGGTAATAAACAGTCGTAATTATGTTATACGTGGAACATTATGACATAAAAATGATAAGATATACTGACCATTTCACTGCAACATACCTTTTTCTTTCTATCAATGCATTAATAATTTATTTAATAGTGTTTAGTTGGGTTTTTTTTAAGATATATTAGGCCTAACCAGGGGCATAGCTTGTCACTTGTTTTATCAGTATTAATTTTTAGAATTTTTCTAATTAACTGCAATTAATTAACCTTTCTTTTTGTGGAAAATGCGTATGACTAAATCATTCGACATCAAGGGTCTGCTCACGGGTAAACACTGTACTTTGCAACGATCTTTGTGTTTGAAATTGCTGATGGTCATATTTACCTTGATATATAAGCATTCAAAAAGTTACACTAACCTATTAATATTGATTATATAAAGTATATATCTGTATTTTTCAGATTTTTGAGGCCCCTGTGTAATTGCTATTGTAATACATAGGTCCAATAACCAAACAACAGAACTGACTTACATATACCTATATACATATATTGTCTTTAAATTGCATCAATGATGGGTGTTTAGGTACACCAAGACAAAAATGCACAATAACTTTTATGGGGTATATATTTAATATCTATAAAACCCACTTATACATATGAATATATCAGTCGCATATACCATAGTTAACGAGTCAGAATTGCGTGGCACTATATAGGCCCACACATTTATATCTGAAATGATCACTAAAAGAAATGCTCGGATCGTTCATGTTATTTGACAATTTATAAATTGTAGACATTTTTATAGATTTTCAAATGAATTCATATTTTTCACTTATTCTAGTGCACAATATAGCATAAACCCATTGTAGTAATGAGATATAACGAACAAACATCACCAACATTATTGTAAATATTATATACTCAAGTTTCACCACGCAAATGACTTTACTCTTGTAAAGCGTGCTGATTTACTGCGCATTAATACTTTCTCTAGAGAATTCTCCTCACTTGCCATTGACTTAAATTCATCTACGTCCTTTAGAAATGTTTGTATACGATCGTCTATCGTCTTTGTATCCTTACACGAAGCTAACAGTTTCTTTCGTCTCTCTTCATATTTATCAACATATCCATATTTAGAATCTTGCTCCAGCTTACTCAGTTCTTCAAGTTTTCGTCGGGATCTCGTATGATCTTTCCTAACATGAATTCCATACTGAGATCCTGCTGTTTTGTCTGTTTCCGTTCTGTGACGTCCACTTTCATATAATCTCTGATCTCCTGAATGGTAACTAGATGGTCTCTTTATCTGGTTACTGGTTGACAAAGTCGTAGATCGTGCATGGGAATGTTCAATATTTGCGTTAGGATGTTGCTCTCCAGCATGTGGTTTATGTGTATCTGGTTTTCTTTGATGGCTGTTCCGTTTAAATGTTTGAAGAGAAAGTAAAAACATTGTTAAAGTATTTAACGGTTTTGACTGTATTTTCTTTTCCGTATCTTGTGATCCGTCAACTTCATCTACTTTAATATTTCCGTTAGTATTGGCATCATTGGCTAAACCACTTTGTTCGGCTATTGTGTCGTTCTCAACGGAAGCACTTGAACGTAACTGTTTGCTAGATGGTTTCCGTTTAAGGTCAGCTGAACTGGAAACTCTGTTGGATGATTCGTACGGATCTCTATTTTTAATGGCATTCTTTAACTGCAGCATCTCGTCTGCGTTTTGTTTTGTTTCCTTCAACATTTTATCGGTTTCTACACCTCTTCTGAACTGTTCACGATGCAACTCGTATGCTTGGTTCTCCAAACGATTATCAAGGTCTTCATTGTCGAGATATGTGTTGCTGTAATCAAACCGGATGTTGTAAGATGGTGGTTCATCGTGCTCACCGCGTTGTTTACCAGAGAATTTCCTGTATGACGTCATCCTCTCTCAGGCAGTTTACTCTGAAATATAATTGTATATGAATTCTAATAACAAAAGCATTTTATTAAAAAGCTTACATTTTAATGACACCATACGAATAACATATTATATAATCATTTATAATGTCATTTCTTAAAACTAGACAAACATACTATCAAAACAACAGGAATGCATAGAGCAAAAACGAATTATAATATGTATAATTATCGAAGTACAGCTCTGTATTATTTCACACAGAGACGGTTTTCAAAATTTGAAAACAATAATACTTATATGCACAAATTGTCGCCGTGTAAATTGTTCTTCATTGATTTTTAAATTTATCTTCATCATTTATACATTGTATTGAAAAATAACTTACCGCATTCTTCATTATGAAACACCTTTAATTATATGCTTTCTATTTTTCTTTAAAACATTTAAGGTTATTAACATTACGAATATTTAAAGGTATTTGTTCCAAATGTTCATGCCTTAATAAGAAAATGTGTCTTTAATATAATTTGTTTTAGGTCTTGTAAAGGTTGTTGTATGAATACTAATGTAACAAAAGACATTGTGATCAAACAATGTTTCATTTTAATGACATCGTCATGTATCGATGACACTAATTATAGGTATATACATTTATAACTGATATCAATAATTCATTTATAAAGTATACAAACATGTTAGTTACTATAATTATCAACTCTAGGAAGATATCAGAGCTTCAAACGAATTCATCCATGATGCTATCAAATTATCGACAAGTACGCCTACTGTTACACCAGATATATCACAGAGACGTGTGTTTCACATTGAAAAATCTTTATAAATACTTCATACAACTAGTTTGTCGCCGGTGTGAAGCTTGTTCTTGCAAAAGATATTAGGTCTACTTAATGAACTAACTGTAGTACATGTGTTACGTGATAAAAGTAAGTCGTGCACTCGCGATTCTTTGGCTTTGATGTAATACACCTTTTTAATTATTATCCATCCGCTTCCGCTTATGTTAACTTATTCTGTTATAAATGATATAATAATGTAGAATGTTTTAATTTATTTTACGTCATTTACGACCAACTCAAAGGCGTTCTTGACTTTTCTTACATTTCATAAACAAACTTTACATGAATGATATTTTGATTTTTTTTTTAAAACAAATAAAAACAAAAATACATTGAGGCTAAGGAAGTGTTAGGAGTATCTTAAAATGGATTAAGTATGTCCGGCTTAGCCAGCCTGTAGCGAAAGCATGCATTGAATGTTATTCTGAAGAGCATAAGTCATGTTCTTGAAAAGAAACAAATCGATTTAAACATGTCACAGTTGTGGAAATCTGGACTCATATTCAACAATTTGTGTATAACGTCTATCATTCACATTTTTGATTAAGTCATGTTTAAATGCCAGGTCTTCCAAGTCAACAGTTACAAACAGTTCTCGTATAAATTAACTTATATTCTCATTTATTTATGTTTGTTATTTCTTTATGTTTATAATACGTACATATGCAAATGTTATGATAAAAATGAACGCTATAATGCTGCTTATCAAATCTTTAATGGGAACAAAAATTGTGCAAATGATGTGTTTAAACGTTAACTTAAACATAAACTGAGTTTCAATAGTACAAATAACATGGTTATTGTAAAAGGTTTTTGTTTATTAACGTGTCTAAAGAACACGTTTTAAATTTCAATAGCTTCATTTTCATAAATGAAATGAAAAGATCAATGTATGGTATTGAAGAAATCTTTATTTATGTTTACAAATGCATAAATTTATTTTTGTCAATTTTATTTATTATTATATATTTGTAGACTCTCTTCAATGCAAATCGTAAATTTGAAATGTCAAATTTTATGAGTAACTTCCTTTATACATGGAAGAATAGTAATATTTGTAGTCACGTCATCTTGTAATGAAATTATTTATTTACTTCTGCATACTATCATGAACGGTTGAAATAATGTAATTTGCAAAAAAAAATATCCTTCTTCTTCTATAATATAGGTTTCCAGACATAAATTTTATGACAAAAGATAAAGAAGTTTCTTTTTTTTCTCAACATACGATGTTACAAACAGAATATAACAAAAAAAGAACATCAAGCATTCCTAAGTGTTAGACCATATTTAATGCATAAACTGTCGGAGCTTGGACAGAGATCAAGAAATTCCTAAGCGTGGATAAACTAAAACAAAACTTATTCTCAAATAGTAATACGAAACAAAAATCATAAGAAAGAAATATCTTACCTTTTAGGAAATATTTTACTTCTCCTTATCTTCAGTTGAAACAGAAATAGTTCAATTTCTCTCCAGAATAGTCCAACAAAATAGTCATCACATCCGTAATAATGATATTGACAAAATACTAAACAATTATTTTACTCAACGTCAAAGACACCTGCTATAAAATCCTACCGCCTTGCATGTATTCAACTTTTTATGTACCTCAATAACTTGTTATAAAGCCACACTTTTAAAGTTAATAAGATTTGCAAAAAATATATTTCAACAATATTCAAAAAGTAATTAACAAAGTATTTCGTATTATTGCGTAACAAATTTCTTGCGAAGATAACTACGTAACCAAGTAATTCAAAATCTCGCCGTTCAATTAAACACATTCTTCGACCGCCATAGCGAGCCGCTCACTGTCTACCCGTCCTATTCTATTTCCGATTCCACAGCATCTAAAGTGTCCTGTGTTAAAATAAATAAATCTCTGATTATTCAGATAGTGCGGGTATTCATTTTGAGACAGATAATCAATTCGCACGTGAGAAGGTTCATTGTATTAAAGGACAGGATAAATGCAACAAAATTTATGGTTGTTTACACAGACAATTTAAATGTTTTTATATAACAAACGGCTATTGAAAATAGTTATTGAAAATCATTTAAAAGGACAAATTCAACAAGGCTGATATGTAATAGAGTTTAATTGATTTTTTTCTTTCATTTAAATTTGGTTGACAGTCTAATTGGTAAAGATTCACCAGCAAAGCCTAGTTCACGTGATCTTGATTTCAGGTTTTATTTATATTTTAAACGATTTTTAAAGTTTCATCAACAGGTTTTCTATAAAACATTGTATTTCTAATGTTCTTATATTTTTCAAATTTATTTGTCTGACTTGCAATATTTCTTTGGATTATGAAGAAAAAATTGCACGTGAATAATGCTCTCATTTATTTGAGAGTGAAGATATTTTGTCGGTTTTTTCTCATTAATTATTTTGATAAATGCTTTCAGTTTTAATCTTATTCCGATGAAACCTTTAAAAAGTCACGAACGCTCTTCATAATATATTAGTTTAATGATTTCGCTTTCCTATTGCTTCCAACATTAAGAACTGTTTATATTCAGGCCAATATGAGTGTAAACACATATTAATTACTTTCTTATTAAAGCCAGAACATATGCACAACATCATCTGGGCTCATTTAAAGTATCCATTTTATTAATACGGTATGAAACAAGTATACATAAATTAATTCAAGGATTTTTACTTAAAAAAGCAAGTATCGAAATTTATAACATTATACTGGAGTTTGCATTTTGCTTAGTCATCGTTGTCAGCGTTTATTTACATTTATTTATTTACTTATTTATTTTTGTAGGTAGGTAGGTCTGTAGGTAGGTCAAACAAACAGTCTTTTCAGACTTATAAATGAATATCCACATAAAATGTTCCAAAATGCATAATAATAATAATAACAAAATATATTTTTCTCTTCTCGAGTGAACATGCCTTTTCCCGTATTTACACTGAGGGCTATTATGAAATAAAATTGACATTTAGAAAGTGTGGCTCGTACAGCTATTATTATGTGTTATATATTGAATGTCTTTTCAAATATCTCTCACAAAACACGTATGATAAATTGCACCTTTTCATTGATCTAAGACCATTGTCAAATTTCCCTTTTTAGAACAGAAAAAAGAAGATATTTGATGTCCCATTAATACTGTTTTAATAAGCAAATCTTTAGAAAGTTTACAAGTATTTGCAAACATATAGCGGTTCTTTTTCTTATACAAGTTTCAAAAGAATACGAATCTCGTAATTCAGTGTCACATAAAAGAAAGAACTCAAATTTCATAGCAGCGGAAAAGAGCCGTCATGGTTGTTAAAACATGACAAAAGAATGATTGCCGTTAAACGAAATATTTATATCCATGGATAAATTTAATTATATACCCTGGGTCATGCTGTTCATTTACTCAATTTGTATTTTGTTGATATATAAGCGTGGTAATGTAAATATTTGCCACCGTGGTTAATATGTCAATATGAATTAGTGTTGAATATGGATGACATATATTACTACCATAACAACGCTGATTTAGGCTGACAAAAAGACCATTTATATTAAAGTCACAGTGGAATTATATGTCCTCACATCCAGCCTTTTAACTTAAATCACAAAAGTACAAGTAAAATTAAAGTGATATGATCGGAAATAAAATAATAAAGGCTTTGTTACGTCATACATCGAGTCTCGCCGAAAATATAGCTCAAATCTGCCAACGCACAGACTTGAATTCGTTTGTTATCAATCCTAAGTGGCAATAATTAAAGTTCCATAAAGTTTTGTTACATTTTATATAGGGTAGCTCCCACCCCGAACTAAATTCCTTTTAAAATAGATTCATTAAGTGTAAATGAATTCAACTCCTGATAACTCAATGCAGCGATTGAAAGAGAGAAAAAAGAAGAAAGAATAGGACTTAACATATGGGGGGGGGAGTAAAATTAATGCCCAGAAATCACATGCTGTTGATCTTAAATATCACATTATCAAGCACAACTAATCATACTCGGTAAAATATGATTATTTTGTTTATATAGGAAGTTGCTAAAGTAGAGACGGTGTTTTAGCCCTTGTTTTTGCAGGTTATTGCTAGAGAGACAATTGTTGAGGACACCTAACCACAACAGATGTTGGGCTTGTATTGACGGAAATTGCAACCTTTTTTTAACTGTCTAAGTTAGATTTGCAAATTATACAAGATGGGTCCCAGAAAGATTTAACCTGCACAATGCCGAGGAAGTATATATTTCACATAGGAAAATAATGCAAAACAATTGTCGTGCTTTTTTGACTTTGACCGCGTAATTAACCTAGTTTTTATGCGTAAAGTATGTACTGTGCAACAGACACAAATAATCATTCATCTATAGTATAATATACGAAATGTTTCGAGACGTTCAAAGATGTGTAAGAACACAAGAACATACGTTTGAATGGTTTGAACAAGATAGGACAGGACCGAGCACTGTGTACCGAGCACCGGTGTATCAGAGTACTTGGTCTTCGCAGATGGCATTAAAAATAAAGTTGATATTTCAGTAGAGGTGGTGTCAGCTGCTGCTGGCGACATGTTGCTGACGTCATTCTCAAACGCTGATTTAGACAGCTTTGTGAATATTAACATTCAACTAACGAACAATACTTATATAATGCTTCACTCAAATCACAGTCTGTCTGAATCACATTTGAAGGCTGACGTTAAATGTTTGATTAGTACACTCAAAGACAGGAATAAACTGATGAAATTGCAGATAGTTTCCTCGGGGCTGTTCTACTGTCTGAGAATATGAAAAACCTTCTCTCGCTAGTGAAAGCGATGATAAACGGAACCTCAGACAGGCCGAATCTTGAGCAATAAAAAATGTTAATACATCATCTTAAAAACAAGCTTGTTTTATCATTATAAGAGAGATTCTCTTTCATTCCTGGGCACAAATCAACCACTCCAATGTTCGGTGATTCAAGATATGGATTACCACCACGTTCGAACTTCAATAAGTTTGTTCGAAGCCAAAAGCGAGCAACAGCAGATGTCTTCTGCTACTCGTCTGCCGATACAGAGGACACGTCTCGTGTCAATACACAGTCTCTTGTCTGGGGAACAAGATACTGCCGGAAATACGTAAATCAACCCGATCCATTGGAAGCACAGTTACTAGTAAGTGATAAGTATGTGCACGTAGATATGTATTTCCGTTCAAAAAAATTCTTTCAGATGCAGGAATTATATTTTGAAAAAATACAAAGTTTCAGACCGGGTCTGCAATTTTTCATTCAATTTTGTAGTGATTAATACTTGCAATGGACCAAACTTTATCCAGAATTTAAATGAAAAATGTAAAGGGTCGTCTCAAGTAAAATGTTTTTGAGGGACAAATGGGGCAAACGAATAACGCTAACGATGTTAGATACACTGTAAAATGGATATACAAATTGCTTATATTTTCTGTACCTGAAAGTTCATTTTCTAATAACAAAAACTCCGCGTTAAATATTATGGACTTTGTAGAGAAAGCTGTTTCGGATCTGTTACAGAATCGTTGTAAATGCACCGCATATTATCATTCCATTGTCTGGACAAAAATATCTGTTGAGGACTGGAAAGTAGGATTAGAGTAACTATTTTACACATGATTTGTATATGTCTCAGTTCGATTTAAGTAAAGGCTACCATCATTTAGAGCTTATCAACGTTTTCAGGTTTTTTCAATAAAGGGAAAAAAACTACCCTTTCACTGTTGTCCATTTGGCATTAGTAGCGCCCCTTACATTAAAAAAACACGTCACGACAAGATCGACTTATAAATGAACCATTCATCAGACACTGCACCACCATTAGAACACAACGAATCGTTTGAAGAGAAAAGCAGAAGCCTGCAGCTTTCAAACTCTAAACCGCCCAAATCAGTGTAATTCCCCGATGTCTTAACTAATTGACCACCACAGAAAATGACCAAGGTATGACACTCCCATCAAGGGATGTTCCGCAGTGGGAAATCAAACGTTTCACACAGGTAAACAAAGATGAAACCAGACCAGGAACCAAGTTTTAAAGTATGAAAATAAGAGAAAACGAACATGTGTATGATTATAATGAATATTATGATAATTAGTAAATAGTAAGTTATTGATTATCTAACTTGTAATTAATGTTCTTTTCAAGGGTTAATGTTTATTTAGTTAGTTATTTAGAAGACACTCTGTAGCGTGAATAGTTGAGTATCACCGCATGCATTCTACTATATAGCATAATAAGTAACGAACTTACAATAATAATGATAATAATGTTATTAAAATCAAATGATGAGGAAAGTCGTTCTAGATACAAGATTCAGAATAAACAAACTAATTGTTCAGCATTTGGTCTTGGGATGTAAAGTTGAAAATCATGTGATGAACGCAAATTGCGTGTATGACAGTCTGTAGATAAAATGAACTTATTCAATAAATAGGAAGGAGCCTGAGTATCCATTATCTTAAACATAATAGCTTTTTGAATCAAAGCACTAAATGTACTGATGGGGAGGCTATGACAGAATGTTTCAGACTTATATATAGTTTCTTTTCTTTTTGCTTAAAATGTGCTGTTATTTCAATTATTATCAAAATAAGAAGATATGTACATTGCGCTATTTATCCTTACTGTTGTGTTCAACCATTCATATATATGGTAAATATGGTTGACTATTCATTTTGTTAATATTCCAGAACATTTCATTGAGGTCTACATTCGGACTGTTAATCATGCAAATTTTGAAAAACCTAAACTGTCAATAATAAATGACATACCAGCAAGTATGACGACTGTTTATTATAAGATAACATTAACATTTTACAACTGACGGTTCCTTATCAAAATATTCTAGGACTGTTCATCATAAATACTTTATGTCATTTTAATATCATTGAATGATAATAACAACTGCAAGTTATGCAATATTTATAAAAATTATACATATTTACATGTACCATAATTGAGATCAATAAGATACTGTCTTGTGATGAGTATTAATATTTATGCTCTACGGACAGAAAGTTGTCTTCTCCCGAAGCAAATCTCGAATAAAATCACGTTTCAGAAAATTATTCCCTTATTGACTTTGACGGCTTCGGATAATATTAAAGCTAAATATTTCTTGAAAAAATACATATCTGCAAAGTTTATTCAAAATTGAATCAACCTAAGTGAAAATTGATCAGGAAGTTATATCTTCTTTTTTACCGCCAACACTCAACCAACTTATGGTAGTTAATCGATAGATTCTACATGTTTTTTTTAAACCTCACTAGCTTGAAATATATACTGCGGAAAATCTGTTGTTAACAGGGTGTGCGGTTATTACGTAGGGTTTTCCCTGTCGACCATTTCCCGCAAATAGATGAGAACATCGAAGCATCAGTGCTATGAATGGTGTTATAAATATCGTGTTTTGGAAGTTTTTGTTGAAACTTCTCCAAATCCCTCCAGAGGCGTCGCGGAGAAGGCACACGGCAGGTCAAGGTCAAGTCATCACAAGTATCAGAGGTGACTGGTTGACCTGTCGTGACTTACTCTGGAGGTTTGGCGCTAATGAATGCCGTTTTTGTTGTCGTCAGTCAGGAAGTTGATGTCTTGACAGTATTGTCGTCTGTTACAACCCGTTTTGTAATAAAGTTGCAAATTGTAATAATTATTACAAAACGGGTTGAAAAGTTTATTACAATTTGAAATTTTCCGCACAACCCGTTTTGTAATAAAGTTGCAAATTGTAATAAACTATCAATAGAAGTCAAAAGTCAATTTTACCCACTAATATAAGTTCATCTTCAGAAATATCATATAATTTTAAGTAACACATACATGTGACCTACTTTATTGCTGAAGTTACTATTATTAATATTTCATTAAAATAAGCATTATTTCAGTAAATAATGACAAATATATCATTTCTGATGCAAATTGTAACATTTATTACAAAACGGGTTAAAAAGTTTATTACAATTTGAAATTTTCCGCACAACCCGTTTTGTAATAAAGTTGCAAATTGTAATAATCTATCAATAGAAGTCAAAAGTCAATTTTACCCACTAATATAAGTTCATCTTCAGAAATATCATATAATTTTAAGTAACACATACATGTGACCTACTTTATTGCTAAAGTTACTATTATTAATATTTCATTAAAATAAGCATTATTTCAGTAAATAATGACAAATATATCATTTCTGATGCAAATTGTAACATTTATTACAAAACGGGTTGAAAAGTTTATTTCAATTTGAAATTTTCCGCACAACCCGTTTTGTAATAAAGTTGCAAATTGTAATAAACTATCAATAGAAGTCAAAAGTCAATTTTACCCACTAATATAATGTCATCTTCAAAAATATCATTCAATTTTAAGTAACACATACTTGTGACCTACTTTATTGCAAAAGTTACTTTATTAATATTTCATGAAAATAAGCATTATTTCAGTAAATAATGACAAATATATCATTTCTGATGCAAATTGTAACATTTATTACAAAACGGGTGAAAAGTTTATTACAATTTGAAATTTTCCGCACAACCCGTTTTGTAATAAAGTTGCAAATTGTAATAAACTATCAATAGAAGTCAAAAGTCAATTTTACCCACTAATATAAGTTCATCTTCAGAAATATCATATAATTTTAAGTAACACATACATGTGACCTTGTTTATTGCTAAATTTGCTATTATTAATATTTCATGAAAATAAGCATTATTTCAGTAAATAATGACAAATATATCATTTCTGATGCAAATTGTAACATTTATTACAAAACGGGTTGAAAAGTTTATTTCAAATTGAAATTTTCCGCACAACCCGTTTTGTAATAAAGTTGCAAATTGTAATAAACTATCAATAGAAGTCAAAACTCAATTTTACCCACTAATATAATGTCATCTTCAAAAATATCATTCAATTTTAAGTAACACATACTTGTGACCTACTTTATTGCAAAAGTTACTATTATTAATATTTCATGAAAATAAGCATTATTTCAGTAAATAATGACAAATATATCATTTCTGATGCAAATTGTAACATTTATTACAAAACGGGTTGAAAAGTTTATTACAATTTGAAATTTTCCGCACAACCCGTTTTGTAATAAAGTTGCAAATTGTAATAAACTATCAATACGAGTCAAAAGTCAATTTTACCCACTAATATAAGTTCATCTTCAGAAATATCATATATTTTTAATTCTAACACGACCCGCATTTTTCCCTATTGAACATAGAAGAATAGAAAGTGTGTGTTATTATGCAACAGATGCACAGTTTGACGTTCTATATTTAGACATGTGACGTAATCATTATACACGGGACGTAACCACTAAAAATCTGACGCGCTGAAAATAAGTACGGAAACAAATCAGGCGCAATATTGCTTAACTATCAAGTACAGCAACATTTATTTGTTGATGTCGTGTTAGAATCGAAATAATATATCCAAATCAGTGATTTTATCGTTTGATAACATCACTGTTTGTCGTTCGGATGCGCATCATTATATCACTCGGGCTACGCCCTCGTGATATAATTCCTCGCATCCGAACTCCAAACAGTGATGTTATTGAGCGATAAAATCACTGTTTGGGATATATTATTTCTTATGTAACATATACATGTGACCTACTTTATTGCTAAATTACTATTATTAATATTTCATGAAAATAAGCATTATTTCAGTAAATAATGACAAATATATCATTTCTGATGCAAATTGTAACATTTATTACAAAACGGGTTGAAAAGTTTATTACAATTTGAAATTTTCCGCACAACCCGTTTTGTAATAAAGTTGCAAATTGTAATAAACTATCAATAGAAGTCAAAAGTCAATTTTACCCACTTATATAAGTTCATCTTTAGAAATATCATATAATTTTAAGTAACACATACATGTGACCTACTTTATTGCTAAAGTTACTGTTATTAATATTTCATTAAAATAAGCATTATTTCAGTAAATAATGACAAATTTATCATTTCTGATGCAAATTGTAACATTTATTACAAAACGGGTTGAAAAGTTTATTACAATTTGAAATTTTCCGCACAACCCGTTTTGTAATAAAGTTGCAAATTGTAATAAACTATCAATAGAAGTCAAAAGTCAATTTTACCCACTAATATAAGTTCATCTTCAGAAATATCATATAATTTTAAGTAACACATACATGTGACCTACTTTATTGCTAAAGTTACTATTATTAATATTTCATTAAAATAAGCATTATTTCAGTAAATAATGACAAATATATCATTTCTGATGCAAATTGTAACTTTAATTACAAAACGGGTTGAAAAGTTTATTACAATTTGAAATTTTCCGCACAACCCGTTTTGTAATAAAGTTGCAAATTGTAATAAACTATCAATAGAAGTCAAAAGTCAATTTTACCCACTAATATAATGTCATCTTCGAAAATATCATTCAATTTTAAGTAACATATACTTGTGACCTACTTTATTGCAAAAGTTACTATTATTAATATTTCATTAAAATAAGCATTATTTCAGTAAATAATGACAAATATATCATTTCTGATGCAAATTGTAACATTTATTACAAAACGGGTTGCAAAGTTTATTACAATTTGAAATTTTCCGCACAACCCGTTTTGTAATAAAGTTGCAAATTGTAATAAACTATCAATAGAAGTCAAAAGTCAATTTTACCCACTAATATAATGTCATCTTCGAAAATATCATTCAATTTCAAGTAACGCATACTTGTGACCTACTTTATTGCAAAAGTTACTATTATTAATATTTCATTAAAATAAGCATTATTTCAGTAAATAATGACAAAATTAAATATATCATTTCTGATGCAAATTGTAACATTTATTACAAAACGGGTTGAAAAGTTTATTACAATTTGAAATTTTCCGCACAACCCGTTTTGTAATAAAGTTGCAAATTGTAATAAACTATCAATAGAAGTCAAAAGTCAATTTTACCCACTAATATAAGTTCATCTTCAGAAATATCATTCAATTTTAAGTAACACATACTTGTGACCTACTTTATTGCAAAAGTTACTATTATTAATATTTCATGAGAAAAAGCATCATTTCATTATATATTGACAAACATATAATTCTCAGGTAAATTGTAACATTTATTACAAAACTGGTTAAAAAGTGTATTACATTTTGAAATTTTCCGCACAACCCGTTTTGTAAAATTGTTGCAAATTGTAATAAATTATTAATATGAGTCAAAAATCAATTTTACCCACTAATATAAGTTCATCTTCGAAACGTTATTTAAATTTAGAAAACTCATACATTTGACCTTCTTTATTGGAAAAATACTGTTAGTGATATTTCATCAAATTAAGCATCATTCATTATATAATGACAAACATATTATTTCTGATTACATACAAAACGTGCTGAAAGTTGATAATAATTTGGAATTTTCCACACAACCCGTTCTGTTATAAAGTTGCAAATTGTCATTTTTCGTTCCGCTGATAAAGTTCATCCTGGATAAATATCGCTTAATTTTAGGTTACTTATACATTTGCCCTACTTTATTTGAAACATTTCTTTTCTTGATATTTCATTAAAAGCCACTCACCCAGATTTTGTTCCTGCAATTTTAATATTAGTGTACATAATAATCACAATTAATAGAAGAAGTTAAAGTCATTTTTTCACTGATATAAGTTCATCCATCTTAGGTAAATATTTAATTTAAGGTTACTTATACATTTGACCTACTTTATTGGAAAGGTCAATTGTATTAATATTTGATAATGATAAACTATATTTTATTGCTCAAAGGGAATCATATAACTTTAAGGCAAATTGTTTATTTGTGCTACAAAACATTTTATTACCGTTTGAAATTTTACGTATTTTAAATGAAATTTTTTTTGTCGATTACGGTCAATTTTGAGTAAATATTATTTAATATTAGTTTAAGAATAGTAACAAACAGTTCTGTAATACAGTTGAAATTGTTTTATTGTTTTACCAAGGTGCTGACAACATTACGTTGTTTTTATCCGTAATCAACACTTTAAATATAACTGCTACATGACTTCGTTCTTGTTGAAAGGACAGCTCTATTGATATTCTACTATACAATTCACCTTAAATTGCAAGTATATGGAGACAAACTTTTTTACAAAACGGGTTACAATAATTATCACATTTTCAACAGAATATATATTTTTAAAACAATTTTTATTGGTTTGACTGACCGTTAGCCACTTAGTGATTACACTAAGCGTTGCCACCTCTGGCCACGCTGAGGCCGTCAGGCTGCAGGGGGGGGGGTCAATGTGGAGTAAAAACATTTAAACTGCTACCGCAACACAACAAAAACTTGTTGTAATAACATGTAGTAAGAATTGCTAATCATAAACGTTGATGAAACGCATGTTCTATGGGGTTTGGAGATACAGATCAAAACTGTCAAAAATCGGGATATATTTCAGTCTAAAATTCTTAAAGTGACAGACCATATTTCTTCATATATTAATAATTTCACAATGTATTTATTTGCGATTTTAAAATATCTCAGTTGTAAAAAGAGTTTAACAAAATGATAATAATTTATTTTTTATTTCATTTAGAAGTTGAGAAGATACATTTATCTGCACTGTGTTTTTTTCACTGTCCAAGCGGGCATTTTGCATGTTTATCAGTGAATTTCGTCCAAAAATGTGTTCCAAATTTTATTTTATGAGTCAGTATCTAATCAATTACAAAATGTTCAGGTCATTCATAGAAAGAAAGCCATTAATATCTGATAACCTTTATGGCCTGTCGCTTGAATACTTTATAATAAATAAAACAGCAATAACTTAACTTAACCCAAAAGAATGCTGGTTAGCTGATTTGCAAATATTGCTGTTAAAATGACAATAAAAATACCAAAAAGTTTTTTAACTAAATTTATTTCTCCACATTGACTATCACATATAAGCTTCATTCATTCATTCATTTATTCATTCATTCATTCATTCATTCATTCATTCATTCATTCATTCATTTATTCATTTATTCATTCATTCATTCATTCATTCATTCAGCCTTGCATTTAGCCACAAGTAAAAGTTACAAGCAAAAATCTTAGAAGATACACGAAGTGATTGAAACGAAATATTATAATGTTGATTAGTTGTTTTTTTTTTTGGTTTTGTTTTTTTGTATTATCTGCTTTATACATCAATCACTCTGACATTCATGACACACGAACATATTATGTCAAACATAAAATGAAGTTTAAAAAACTGCAAAAATGCAATCAAACATTAAATTAAAGAAAAAAAAATATTATAATGTACATCATTTTCACTTTTTGTATTTATCTATGTTTTTTTTTCATTTTTTTCTTTTCTTTTTCTTTTTGGTGCGTGTACCTGGTCCAATCATAAACAACAATCACTCCGACATTCATGCATATGACATGCTGTTTGTTGCGTTCTTCGGAGTAAGTCACAGCAACACAAACAGTTTTTGTAAAAACAATACAAAACTAATCACAGTACTAACGAAAACATGTACTCAAAACAAGCTCATAGATTTCAAAATGATTAGGATCAAAGTAATCAGGGACCATGATTTTCTTTGATTAATGCATTTTAAACTGAATCGAAACATTTTGTTAGCCATGGTCGGATACATGTTATGTGTTTGAAATCACTCTGTTGTATAATAGGAGTGGTATACAGTTAAGACAACTTGCTTGCGAACATATTCAGCAAAACAGATTTCATTATGAAAATTTCATGTCTGAAACAATAAAAGCTTACTTAAGAAAATTGTCTCGCAGACTGACATTTGGTGACAACTTAACACTGATTGCATTGGCAAGAGAGTTTAATAGCCAGTTTATTGTCATCAACTCGAAGGGAGCATTATACAACAGAGTGATTTCAAACACGAGTGTTTTTGACCCCGAAATGACAACATTATATCTAGGGTTTTACCCTGAGATACATTATGTATCTGTTGATATAACCAATGAAACCTCACTTAAAGCTATCATTGAAAGTTGTGCTTCAAATAAAAGAAATCATAACAAAAGACACATTGAAATGGTGTAATGATGATCTGGAAGGAGCTGAAGATGCTACTGATAATGCATCAGTTAATAACTCGAGTAATGCCATTGACAGAGATGATGTAGAACGAATAGGCAAGGGTGACGACAAGGATGTTAACCTATCAGATAATGACTCAAGTGGTGACAATAACAGAAATAGAGATGATGTAGAAGGAAATGACATGAGTGATGAAAACCTATCATGTAATGATGACCCAGTTGATGACAATGACAGTGATGAAATAGAACGAATGCAGTGAGTGTTGAAAAAGTTGAAAACCTATCACCTAATGACTCAAGTTATGACAATAACAAAGACGATGTTGAACGACATGCCATGAGTGATGAAATTGATGAAAATCTATCAGCTAATGACTCAAGTGGTGAAAATGACAGAGATGATATAGAACGAAATTCTAGAAATGACGAAAAAGATAAAAACCTGTCTGATAATTATGCACGTGATGACAATGACAAAGATTATGTAGAACGAAATGGTGACAGTGACGAAAAAGATGAAAACCTGTCTGATAATGACGAAAGTGATGACAATGACAGAGATGATGAAGAACGACATGACATGAGTGATGAAAATGATGAAAACCTATCAGGTAATAATGACAGAGATGAAGAATGTCGATGGAAATGACGTTAATGAAAAAACAATTCTGAAAACATATTGATGATGGGCATCAAATTAATGAAAGTGATAACGAGAATGGAGACAACGTAGATGATAATGCCGGACAACAGGGTTGAAAATGAAGCTCAGATTCCGTTACCTCCCTATTAAAAGCTTAAGGAGAATTATCTTCCATTCTATACGGACATCACCTTTGATGCGATATACTTTACAGCTGGTCAATTCAGAATTTGCCGATATTATCAGGGAGTATGGGTATCCTATGATCTACCTACGACCATCCCAAATGATTAAATTTACCTTTAACGGTAAGTGTAAATAGGCTCATTCGTATATATGGCAGTCACAGTTGTTCCTGTTAAACGTGCCGACAGCTGTTGGGAGGGGAGTCTCGGGGACCTGGTTACATTACGAGATGTTTGTCCGTTAAATGTTGCATGGCGAATAGACTTCAAAAAAGTCATTTTCAAAACCGATAACCCAGCATTTCTTTAGCATTCTTTTTTTTAAAAAAATTATTGTTTCATTTGCAATTTCCCTTTCCACATTTTTGTTTGGGTTTGTTTATTTTTGCTTAAAATGTGTTTATTGTAAAAATTTGATTGCAAAAAATTGGTTTTTACATGTAATAAATTCATCACATGTTTCACAATATATGGTTTCGTCTAATTTCCAGGCAATTGAATGATGATTTGAATAACGGTATTGGGTTAGATTAATAATTTGTTCCTTCTAAAACGTACTTGGGTCCCATTGATTTTTATTTAATCATAATAAATGTATCCCGACCAAAATGGCTAAAAAAAAATGTTTCGATTAGTTTTAAAATGCATCAAATCAAAAAAATCATGGGTCCCCTGATTACTTTGATCCTAATCAATTTTTGAAATCTAAAATGAGCTTGTTTTGGGAGTAACTGTTTTCGTTAGTAACTGGATTAGTTTTGGGTATTGTTTTTACAAAAACTGTTTTTTGTGTTGCCTGTGACTTACTTCAAAAAAACGCAACAAACAGCATTGTCAATATCATGAATTTGTCGGAGTGTTGTTTTTTTTATGATTGGAAACCAGGTACACGAACCAAAAAAAAAGAAAAGAAAAAAATGAAAAAAAAAAACATAGATAAATACAAAAAAGTGAAAAATGATGTACATTATAATAATTTTTTTTTTCCCTTTAATTTAAAATTTTGATTGCATTTTTTTGCAAGTTTTTTAAACTTCTTTTTTTTGTTTGACATCAAATATGTTCGTGGTGTCCAATGAAATGTCAGATGATTGATGTATAAACAGATAATACAAAAAAAACAAAAACCAAAAAAACAAAACACAATTTATAATTTTCCAACATTATAATATTTCGTTTAATCACTTCGTGTAATCTTTCTATCTAAGATTTTTTGCTTGGGTAACTTTTACTTGTGGCTAAATGGCCAAGGCTTGAAATGAATAAAATGGATGAATGAAGCTTAATATGTTGATAGTCAATGTGGAGAAAATAAATTTTAAAAGTTAAAAAAAACTTTTTTGGTATTTTTATTGTCATTTTAACAAGCAATATTTTGCCAAATCAGGCCTAACCGCAATTCTTTTGGGTTTTAAGTTAAAAGTTATTGCTGTGTTTTATTTTTTATAAAGTAATTCAAAGCGACAGGCCATAAAGGTTATCAGATATTAATGGCTTTCTTTCTAATGAAATGACCTGAAACATTTTGTAATTGGAAATTAGATACTGACTCAAAAATAAAATTTGGGAACACATTTTTGGACCGGGAAATTCACTGAATAAACATCAAAATGCCCCGCTTTGGACAAGTGAAAAAAAACACAAGTGCAGGATAAATGTATCTTCTCAAAACTTCTAAATGAAATAAAAAAATAAATTATTCCATTTTGTTAAACTCTTTTTTACAACTGAGATATTTAAAATCGCAAATAAATACATTGTGAAAATTATTAATAATATAAAAGAAATATGGTCACTTTAAAAATTTTAGGACTGAAATAATCCCGAAATTTTTGACAGTTTTTTGATCTGTATCTCTAGACCCCATAGAACATGCGTTTTCATCAGCGTTTATGATTAGAATTCCTTTACTACATGAAAATTACAAAAAGTTTTTGTTGTGTTGGGGTAGCAGTTTAAATGTTTTTCCTCCACATTGACCCCCCCCCTGCAGCCTGACGGGGGCCTCAAGCGTTGCCCAGGGGGTGGCCCAACGTTTTAGTGGTAAATGCACTAAAGTGGCTAACGGTCAGTCAAACCAATAAAAATTATTTTAAAAATATATATTCTTTTGAAAAAGAAAGTGATAATTAAATTGTAACCCGTTTTGTAAAAAAATGTTTGTCTCCATATACATGCAATTTAAGGTGAAATTGTATGTAAAATATCAAATAGAGCTGTCCCTTTCAAACAAGAACGAAGTCATGTAGCCAGTTACATTTAAAGTGTTGATTACGGGATAAAAACAACGTAATTTGTCAGCACCTTGGTATAACAATAAAAACCCAATTTTCAACTGTAAATTACAGAACTGGTTTTGTTACATTCTTAAATAATATTAAATAATATTTAAACTCAAAATTGACCGTAAATTTCGACAAAAAAAAAAAATTTAAAATACGTAAAATTTCAAAACGGTAATAAAAATGTTTTGTAGCACAAATAAACAAAATTTGCCTTTAAAGTTTAATGATTCCCTTTGAGCAAATAAAATATAGTTTTATCATTTTACCAAATATTAAAAAACATTGTCCTTTCCAAATAAAGAGGCAAATGTAATAAGTTTACCTTTAAATTAAAATATTTACCTAAGATGGATGAACTTATATCAGTAAAAAAATGACTTTAATTCTTTCTATTAATTGTGCTTATTATGTAACTAATATTAAAATTGCAGGGAACAAAATCTGGGTGAGTGGCTTTTAATGAAATATCAAGAAAAGAAATGTTTTCAAAATAAAAAGTAGGGCAAATGTATAAGTAACCTAAAATTAAGCCGATATTTTCCAGGATGAAACTTTTATCACGGGAACGAAAAAATGACAATTTGGCAACCCTTTATAAACAAGAAACGGGTTGTGTGGGAAAATTCCAAAATTATTATCAAACTTTCCAGCACGTTTTTGTATGTAATCAAGAAATAAATGTTTGGCCATTATATAATTAAATGATGGCTTAATTTGAAGAAAATATCAATAATAGTATTTTTTTTCCAAAGAAGGTCAAATGTATGAGTTTTCTAAAAATTTAAAATAACGTTTGAAGAACTTATATTAGTGTGGGTAAAATTGATTTTTGACTCAATATTAATAATTTAAATTAACAATTTGCAACAAATTTTTTCACAAAAACGGGTTGTGCGGGAAAATTTTCAAAATTGGGTAATAAAACTTTTCAACCAACCGTTTTGGAATAAATGTTACAATTTGCATCAGAAAATGATATGTTTGGTCATTATATAAATGAAATGATGCCTTTTTCTCATGAAATATTAATTGATAGTGACTTTTGCAATAAAGTAGGTCACAAGTATGTGGTTACTTGAAATTGAAATGATATTTCTGAAGATGAACTTAATATTAGTGGGAAAAATTGACTTTTGACTTCTAAATTTGATTGTTTATTAACAATTTGCAAACTTTTTACAAAAAAGGGGTTGGTGCGGAAAATTTCAAAAATTGTAATAAACTTTTTCAAACACCCGTTGTGTCATAATTTGTTACAATTTGGGGGGGGGAAAAAAAAATCAAAAGAAAAAATGATATATGTGTCGTTTATTTAATGAAAATAACACTTATTTTAAATGAAAATATTAATAAATAGTAACTTTAGCAATAAAAGTAGGTCACATGTTTGGTGTTACTTGCAATTTGAATGAATATTTCTGAAAGATGAACCTTATATTAGTGGGTAAAAATTGACTTTTGACTTCTAATTGATAAGTTATTACAAAATTTGCAACTTTATTAAAAAACGGGTTTTGTGCGGAAAATTTCAAAATTGTAATAAAATTTTCAACCCGTTTTGTAAATAAATGTTACAAGTTTTCCATCAGAAAATGAATATGTTTTGTTCAAATTAAATTTACTGAAAAAATGCCCTTATTAAAATAAAATATTAATAAAAGTAAAATTTAGGCAATAAAGTAGGTCCACATGTAATATGTTTACTTAAAAAATTATATGATATTTCTGAAGATGAACTTTATTAGTTTGGGTAAAAATTGACTTTTGGGACCGTATTTTAATAAGTTTATTACAATTTGCAACTGTATTACAAAAACGGGTTTGGTGCGGAAAATTTCAAATTGTAATAAACTTTTCAAAACCCGTTTTGGTTAAATAAATGTTACAATTTGGCATTCAGAAAATGACATATTTTCAAATTATTTACTGAAAATAAATGCTTAAATTTTCATGAAATATTTTAATAAAAGTTTAAATTTAGCAATAAAGTAAGGTCACATGTATATGGGTTACTTAAAATTATAATGTATTTCTGAAAGATGAACTTATATTAAGTGGGTAAAATTGACTTTTGACTTCTAATTTTTATAGTTTTTATTAAATTTTAAAACTTTAAATTACAAAACGGGTTTGTGCGGAAAAAATTTCAAAATTGTAATAAATTTTCAACCCGTTTTTGTAAATAAATGTTAACAAATTTCATGAAATGAAATGATTGATTTTGTCACATTGTTATTTACGTGAAATAATGCTTATCTTTTTCATTAAATATTTAATAATTAGTAATAAATTTACAAATCAAAAGTAAGGTTACTTCACTTATATAAGTTTCACTTCAGAAACATATTTAAAATTAAATATTTTGATAATGTTCTAAGAGAAGATGCAACTTATAATTACGTGGGGAACACTTACAATTTTGATCTTTTTGACAGCGCGAATTGGATATAGTTTAAATTAAAACAATTTGCAACTTTATTACAAAACGGGTTGTGCGGAAAAAAATTTCAAAAATTGTAATAAAACTTTTCAAACC